ACAAAAAGCAAACTTGTCCTTACAGGGATTGCAATCTGCCTCTGCCCATTGGACTGCCACAAACCACTGCTATGTTATTAAAATACCTCCAAGTATATTTGTAACCCTGGGTGGCATCAGTTGTTTTTCCATTCTTTAGGAATAGGGCTATCATTTTGCCATTTGTCATTTTCTGAAGTTGTACGCATCAGGGATCCTAAAGTGTGCATTTCACATCTATTTTGTTCTGCTGTATCCATTATTCTGACCCTAAGAAGTAGCAGAATATAATTAAGCATGTAGGAGCCATTCTGCCTAAGTTTGAATTCTGATTCTCTTGTTTACTAGCTGTGTGATTTAGACAAATTACTTCTGAGAGCCTTTATAATGTTACCCTGTGGGAACTTGTAGTACCTTCTTCATAGGATTGATGCAATATGTATCCCACGTCTTGGGTGACCTTAACCTTGAGTCCTGCTGTAATTCTGGGATGTAGAACTGGGGTTTATACATCCATGGTGCTGGCCTCTGTGATAGGGAGCAGCCCCAGTCTCAGCCCTCTGTGTCCAAGTCTTGGTAGACTTGGATGTAATGCAAGTGGCATTGACATCTGTGTGAGTGTTGGCAGGAGGAATTGTGGGCCATGACTAATTAATCATTTAACTTCTCCAGGTCTCAGCTCCTTGATGTTAAAATGCAAATAATATTAGTATCTCTCTCACAGGGGTATGGAGAGGATTACAGAAGACAAGACACATAAAGCAACTAGAAGGTGCCTGGCTCATTGCAAGTACTGTGTAAAAAATGTTATTAGCAATAATGTGTGCTATCAGCTAGATTTCTGTCTCATTATGACTATGGCTCATGGCTCAGGGTCTCTGCCCAGCCCAAGGCCAGGAGCTGGCCAGATCTAGACAGAGTGACAGAACAACAGTCTAATAGACTGGACTTTGGGCAGAACTCCAGCATCATCAAGGAATTGGGAAACCAGGGCTAAACCTAAAATCCAGTTTAAAAGACAGGCCCATTTAAGTATACCTGTTGCTGGGCAGAGGGCAGGAAGACTAATTCTAGCCTTGGGGATGGGAGGTAGCCCTCTGTCGCCTGCCTGCCTGTGATCAGGTGTCAATCACTCGGAGCCTGGGCATGGTCCAGTCCAATGTTACAGAGCATCAGCTCTGACCTGTCAGCTCTCAGAACCTTCCTTGAAAGCAGGTTTTGACAAAAGGAATAGGAGTGTGGAGAAGGACTGAGAGGAAAGAAAGCCAGAACTCTGAGGGAACTAGAGTCTCCCAAAGGCCTAAACTGAAGCCTAAGAGATGAAAGAAACCACAGTGATTGTGTTTACCATCCTTTTTATATAGACCAGGGTCCTTTAGCCAAAATCATTGTGGCTCATGAGTTTGCAATTCAGAACTTTTTATGTTTTTAGGATTATTAAGACATAAAATGTATAACACCCCTAGTAAATTCTGGGGAAGTCGGGAGGGGGGCATAATTCATCAGACTAATACTGTTGTAGTAAAATAAATTAATATTTATACCAATTGGGATGTGACCTATAAAAGCATTATGTCAATTCAGGTCTAGTGTTGTCACCAACAGTTTATGCCACACTGAAGAAAACTCTATGGTGTTCAGAGTTTTGGTGTCTTTGAAATTGGTGGTGGCAGTTCTTTAATGGACACAGTTGAATGGTTGACCAGCTGAGTGACTAACCAAAGGTACCCACACAGTTGACTGGGGCTCCATTCAACTTCGTACTTACTGAGCACCTGCTGTGTTCCACGCACCATGCTAGGCACTGAGGTTACACGGGTGTGTTGGTTTCTAAGGGTCGCTGTAAAAAATACCCCAAACAAGATGGTTTAAAACAACAGAGATTTATTATCTCATAGTTCTGGAGGCAAAAGTCATGCCCAAAATCAAAGTGTCAGCAGGGCCATGCTCCCTCTAAAACCTGTGGTGGAGAATCCGCCCTTGCCTCATGTAGCTTCTGGTGTTTGCTGGCAATCTTCGACATTCCTTTGCTTATAGATGCATCACTGGCTCTATGTCATTACATGGCATTCTTCCACAGCCATGTTGGATTAGGGGTCCACCCTACTCTAGTATGACCTCATCTCAAGTGATTGCATGTGCAATGACCCTACTTCCTAATAAGTTCACATTCTGAAGGACTGGGGATTAGTATTTTGATGGGGGATTCATACCAACCCATAACAAGTGGCAAACCAGAATAGTCATACTGCCATACTCTCATCAAGGTAATAGATTACAGGTACACAATACCTGACCACAATAAAGAAAATAATCAACAGGATGAAAAAGAAAATCATCTATCTGATAAGGAGTTAATCTCTAAAGTATATAAAGAACTCCTAAAACTCAATAGCAAAACAACAACAACAACACAACAATTAATCCAATATTAAAATGGGCTAAAGTCTTAAACAGACTTTTCTTCAAACAAGACAAATAAATGGCCAGCAGATGTATGAATATTGCTCAATGCCACTACTCATCAGAGAAATACAAATCAAAACCACAATGAGATATCAACTCAAACTTGTCAAGATGGCTATTACTTTTTAAAATTCCATGAAATATCACAAGTGTGATATTTGTGAGTGTATGGAGAAAATGGAACCCTTACCCACCATTGTTAGGAATGCAAAATGGTGCAGCCACTATGAAAAACAATATAGTTTCTCAGGTGGTTCCTCAGAAAATTGAAAATAGAGCTACCATATTATTCAGCAATCCCACTTCTGGGTATTTTATCCAAAAATGTCAGGACCTTGAAGAGATATGAGCACTCCCATATTCACTGTAAACTCACTATTCACAATAGCAAAGATGTGGAAGCAACCTAAATGCCCATAGACAGATGAATGGTGGTTGCCAAGGGCTCAGGGGAGCAGGATATGGGGAGGTACCAGGCAATGGGCATAGAGTTTCAGTTGTACAAGATGAATAAGCTCTAGAGACCTGCTGTACAGCATTGTAAGTAAAGTCAGCAATGCTATATTAAGCTTTTTATGGTTTAGTTTTAGAAGTTACAAATCATCACCCTGTCTCATTCTCTTCATTACAATGGAGTCATTGATTTCAGCCCTCTCTCAAGATTCTATCTTTAGAAGGGCAGAGTGACAAAGAACATATGTATGTATTTTAAAACCAATAACCCCACAACATATTAAAGTGTGGGATTCACCCAAGGTAGGGACTCCAAAATAAGTTTATAGAAATTCATACAGAAGCTAAAAGATATATATTCAACCCAGCTTCTCCTCTTCTATTCATTTAAAATATAGTGAATGTTAATAGGATAATTTCCAAGGTATTTTCTGGAGATAGCATGGTTCAATAGAAAGCACAAAGGCTTTGGAGCCAGGTACACCCACATTTGGGTAAGTCAGCATCTTGGCCAAGTGTAAAATGAGGAAACCCAGGAGAGCCTTTTGTTATGGAGGTAATTAAAGACATGACATGTGTAAAGTGCCCACTGTGATGGTAGATCCCTTCCATTGGCTAATTTACCAGGAAATAATTAACAATATATATTAATTACCTAGAAGGTGCTGTGATGAACCTTGTGAGAGATACAAAACTGGCTCAGACATAGACCTTGCTTTTAAGAGGCAAATGCCCCATAGAGCTCTTAACAGGCAGAATAACTATAATACAGTTGAGAAAATGATATGTGTCTACCACAGGTATAATCCTTTAAATGTGAATCAAATTTGGATATATAGAAATGGAATAAATTTTGAGGGGTAAGGAAAGGACCCAAAGTATTCCAAATTAGAAGTAACAATTTAAATAAACACAGCTAGAAAATATCGCAGGGAGCTGGGCCGGCGGGGGGGGGGGGGGGGGGGGGGGGGGGCGGCATGAATTGAGAATAAGAAAGTAGTTTACTACAGATATAGCTTAAACGTAGAGTTGATGGAAGGAGGTCATGGAAATAAGGATTGGAAAAATAGTTACATATCAAAGTAGCAGGAAGAGATTGAGTATACACTCAGTTTTACAGTCTGACAAAAAATATTAAGGCTAAAGAATTTAAACCAATTTTTAGGGCTGGCTGTGGAAGGTAGGGAACCTAGCTACTGATGCTTTTCTTGGCTAAGTCCTATTGCGGTATTTTTCTGCCTCGCATTGTAAACAGAGCTTTCTAAAAGTGATCATTAAAGAGCACTTCTGACTCAGAGCCCAAGCAACTGAGCTTTATCCTTATCATTCCCATTTTGGAGGCCGCAACAGCAGGGAAATGCAGTGGGAACATGTTTATAGGTCCTTGGCTCGTTATTAATGCACTTCTTGAGACGTGGCCATTTGGAATGGCCCATTTATGCACTCAACTCATCTGTGGTTATTTGACTTCCACCTCCAGATAATGAGGAGTTCTCTCCAGTTATTTTCCCTCAAGAAGACTGATCCTACTTAGCAACCTTCACTTTTGTTACATTCTCCAGTCCCAGGCAGGGATGAGATTCATACATAGGACAGAGACGTTTGTTTTTATGCTGTGATGGAAGTTTGAAGGAAGTTAGAGCCAACGACCTTTCACTTTGAAGCCAAGGAAAAACAGGCACAACTTTTTCAGTGCCGCTAAGAATGGGAGTGGGAGAGATGGACATAAAGGCTTCTTCTAGGCCCACTCTTCCTTACGTGGTGCCCAAAGCCTTTACGTCTTACCTGGCATGCCCTCCTTATGTTGATGAAGTTTATGTTCCATCAAAACAAACATGATTGAGATCATTCTTGATGGTTTTGTGGGTAAAAGTGAATGTCCCATTTTATCACCTTCTTTGCTTTAGTCGCAGTAAATAAATGCAGGAGCATAAAGGGAAAGGGTGGATTTGAGGTGGGGGATAGAATTCCTAGCCAATCTTTGTGCTGGAACGTCCCACATTCTCAGGTAGCTGTTTTTACTCCGTTAACAACATTTCACATCATGGGCAGTGTTCTCTGCACAGGTGCTCAGGGTGTCCTCTTCTCTGATTCCTTCCCAGGTGGGAAATTGGCAAGTGGAGTCCCTGCAGCCTCACCTGTGGGGTTGGCCTGCAGACCAGAGATGTCTTCTGCTCCCAGATACGCTCCCGGGAGATGAATGAAACAGTGATCCTGGCCGATGACCTGTGTCGCCAGCACAAGCCCAGCACCGTGCAAGCTTGTAACCGCTTCAACTGTCCCCCAGCCTGGTACCCCGCGCAATGGCAGCCGGTGAGTTCTGAGTATTGGAGTTTGTGTTTGCATCAGGGATTCAGGACAAGGGGTCATGCTCTTCAAGTTGTTCTGTTCCTTTAAAGGAATGTTCAAGGTCAGCTCATCTTTTCCCTTGTGAGTACTCCCCCGATCTTACTCAACTCCAGCTCTTTTAATTACATACCATGTTCTTTCTTCTGTGCTGCACCATGTAATCCCCAAAAGCAACTCAAAGGAGCCATGGAGTAAGTAACGTGGGCATATTTGTGACAAAGTTTTCACCAGGCTCATGAAAAGTCTTAGAAATAAGGACCTACAATGTGGTAGGTTTTCCATAAAGCTCAATTTGTCCTGAATCTGTAGCCTTTCTAGTTTTTTTGCTAATTAAAATTCTAAAAGATAAAGGGACTAGGCAATGATGTTTCTTTTTTTTAACATAATAACTTAGTAAAATAAAAAATTTGAAATCTTGAATCAATTCCAGACATGTTTTTCTCCTGGTCCTATGAATTCCAAAAGTCTGGGAACTGTTGCTTTAAAGCGGGACTTAGCAACTGCAGCCCGAAGCCAAATCCAGCTCACAGCCAGTTGTTGCCACTAAAGTTTTATTGGAACACAGCAACACCCATTCTTTTATATGTATTGTCTATGGCTGCTTTCGCCCTGCAAGGACAGAACTGTGTGGTTGTGACAAAGACCATATGGCCCGCCAAACCTAAAATATGTGCTCTGTCCTCTTAAAGAAAAATGTTGCTGACCCCCCTCTAAAGCATACATTACAATAATACAAACAAAACTATTTTATCACAGTATCTTATCTAAACTTACATTTATCAAAGTTTAAATAATCTTTTTGCATGCCTTTAAAACAGCACAGAAGAATTTTAATGATTTTAATAGACTCCTATTTGGCGATTTCCACCCCATTAGGACATCAGTCATAGCTCCAGGCCCAGGACCTTGAAGTGACATCAAAGGTCATAAAAAGTAAGCCTGAAAGGTCAGGGGGACATACATCCTGGTTTTACTGAAACAGCTTTTTATTCTCAAATCTGTCCCAATTAGAATGATAAAGTAGAGGGTTACAACTGAGAAGCAGAGAGGGTAGCAGCGTCGAGCATACCCAGGCTGTTTCCACACGTTCTCTGTGCTACTCACAATCAGGTGCCAGAGGGCTGTGACTTAGCAAAATGCTCAAAGGATCAAGTAGTAATGAGCGAGCAAAACACCAAAATATAAAGCATCAGGGAATAGATATTGACTGCACATTTTCTTTTAGAGCTTAAAGGACTATGGCTAAGTTCATAAATTCCATTTTTGTGTGACGGTTTGTGGAAGTCAAGAGGATGTTTTACATTTTCAGTGTCTATGTAACAGTGTTTGGTTAAGAAATATATAGTATTACACATCTAATTGAATTCTCCCAACTATCCAGTGAAACGTAGGTTTTATTATCTTCATTTTGGGGCTTGAGGAAGCTGAGGCTCACAGAGCTAGCAAATTTAGGGCTGGCCATCAACTAGTGTTATGGGATCCTTTCCATTGTTGGAGACCACTGTGGCCAAAAGGGCCCTTGGGGATTATGTAAGAGCCCCTTTGTTTTACAGATGATGTAAACTTGATGTAAACATGTCCTAGATATAGCCTTGCCCGAGATCTTAAAGGCTGCCCCAGAACCCAGGTCTCCTGGTTTCTAGTGTATTCATACTTTTACCTTTAACTAAAGTGAATTCAGAACCTTAAACTGTACCACTAACCTATGTAAGCCCTCATATAGGACAAGAAATCAGACCAACTCAACTCCCATTTTTGAAACTATTAAGTCACCGTATTATTAGCTTGTTTTGCCATTAAGCACATAGTAAGTTCTGGATAGAACGTTTATTGAATGACAAAAGGCATAAATAGATCAAGAATACTGCCACACAAGCCCTGAAAATTATGACTTTATATCTAACTGTCCTGTTTGTTACATGGTTATAGGTCATGTTGACCTGCCAGTAAAAGTGAGTGAAAAACCAATCCCTTAGGTTATTAAACAACCGTAGTAACCTACGGTGTTTTTAAGGCTTTAGAGCACTTCCAAGTTCAGACCTTTTTTTGGTCTTTTGATACCACCATGTCCAATCTCCCTATTAAAAAGAGTGGATTTCCAAGGAGTAAATATTCTTCCATTTTCCACCTATCTTGGGCCTGTTAAGACATGGATTCATTTTGAAATTTTTCTATTTTCTCCCATTAGGGAAAAGTTTTAAGAATAACTCAAGTACAGATATGGCTTGTTTTATTGTGCTTCGCAGATACTGCAGGGATTTTGGGGTGTTTTTACAGATTGAAGGCAAGACCCTTCACCAGCAAAAAGATTACAACCTGCTTTATTGCGGGGGTCTGGAACCGAATCTGTAATATCTCCAAGGTATGCTTGTATAAGTACACTTTTCAGATCAAGAAACAAATAGTAAACAGCTCTTTAAAGTCATTCCAATGAGCCACTGACTACACTTTATAAGGACCTTTAAAAATATCCTATTTCATACTCAATGCATAATAATTGTGGAAAATATTAAAACATAGTAAGAAGTAAAGAACATAGAAAGTAAAAGCCACCAATGATTCTATCCTCCAGGAAAGAAAAGTGCTGTTAAAGCACTTGGTGAATGGGGTCTGTTTTAAGGATCTTTGGTCACTTCCAGGAATCTCTCTGAACTTAGTGGGAATGATAGACTATTTTTGGTACATTATTTCCTAGAGTCCTACTTCTTTGATTAAGTTTATAAGGCAGAACCAGCTATTACTGACCATTTATTAAAAGAAAGGAAGTCATTGTTTATGTGATATGGAATAAGTCGAGAGTAACATGTGTCTCCAGGCTAATTGGCTGTTGTCTTCAGGGAGTACTTAGGACACCAGCTGTTCGTCATCCATTTGTCTGGTGAGCCCTGGTTCTTGGCAGTCCTTTTGGGACAAGGAAACCTGCTGTGTACTCTCAAGGTCTGTCCCATTTAGCTGCTTGGATCTAACAGAGGATAGTGCAGAAGTCTCTAATCCTCCAACACCCAGTTCACTGTCTTTTATTGTTGTTGCTGTTGTTGTTGTTGTTGTTAATGTTTTATTGGGGTTTTTTTAGAGAAAGGAAGGGACAGGGAGAAATAGAAACATCAATGAGAGAGAAACATCAACATCTATCGGTTGCCTCCTGCATGCCCCCTGCTGGGAATCCAGCCCACAACCCAGGCAGATGACCTGACTGGAACCTAACCTGCCATCTCTGGGTTCATGATTTGATGCTGAGCCACATCAGTGGGGCAGTTTACTGTTTTTTTTTTCATGTTAAAGAAAAGGAGATGGGGGATAAAATTCTTCATTTTAAGAAGATAACTCCAGAGATAATGGTTTGTAGCCCATTTGAAGGGAGAAACTCCTTCTCCTTGCTGTTTGAACACTGGGCTGTATGGCCTCATGCAATATGCTTTTCTTTCAGGGGGAGCACAAGTTCAGTTAATCTTCACTTGCCTGCTAAGAATGCAACCTTCTTTGTACCTTGTAGAGCATTTGCCTGACAAATGGCAAATAGCCAATATTTACACATTCTGCAGGTCTGGAGGGACCTCGAATGGAGTCCAAGTATTTATGTTAAAATTTTAGTTTAGAAACAATTAGGCAGATGTGAAGCAGAAATCTAACTCTACATTTGTTTTTTAGGGGGCCTTTTTTATTTCAGTTCTGCCTCTCAATGCAATACTGTGTGCCTTGGTTTTTGTCTCTGGTCTTCTTGAAGGATTCATTTAATATTTCTCTTTATCAATTTAGCTTTAAAATCATGTTGGTTTTTGTTTAGTTGGCTTTTGAAACATATATTTATTGCACCAGTCTACTCTAATTTTTTTTTAATATATGCACACATCTTCATCAACTTTGGTGTTGGCTGTATATTAACATATCACATACACCTCATAGGAGACCATATAACACTGGTGTGTTACAGCACCATGGCTGAGAACCCCTTTGTATGAGCCAAAAGTCAGTCTAACACACCTTGATCATAACAGTCTTTCTAGAGTTTGTCTCAGTGATTATTGTTATGTAATAAAGCCCAATGGCCTGCCCACCTCCAGCCTTGCTTCTCCCATCTCAGCAGGTACATTGCTTCTGCCCACATACAATTTTCTCTGCCTGTCTGTCAAAGTAGGGCAAGAGTCCTACTTCTCCTGCCAGGATCTCTACCGCCCTCCCACATTGAAGTCACATGCTTTTCATGACCAGTGCTGTTCATTTAACAGACAGATACCACCTTACCTGGACAGATGCTTTCCTGTGACTTCTGAGTTAGACCACCAGGTCAATGACAGCAGAGACCAGGTTTCAGTGAGACTCCTCCACTGAAAAGCACCAAGGATGGTACTTAAAAGGTCCATGGCGAGTCTGCCAGCTCATTTGTTGAGCACCTGCTTCATTTCAGGAGAAGCACTTATTAAAGAGAAGCACTCACTATGTATTAAGCACAATTCTAGGCACTTGACACGTTTAACCCATTTCATCCTCACTGTCCTTAATGTGGTAGTTACTACAATTATCCCCACTTCACTGATAAGGAATCTGTAGCACTGATAGATTACCATGAATTCACACTGCATGTGGAAGAACTCATTCTACTGCTCTTGAATTTTCTCCTTTCATTCCTACATCAGCCCTGTGAGGAAAGGCTCAGAGAGGCTGTGCTTCCTCTGGGTCACACAGCCAATAAATGAAACGGGGGCCTGTAGGTTTCCAAACCCATTCTCTGTTCCCTATGCAGTACAGCTTTCCCAAGACTTCTTTGCCATTTGCTCAAGCATTAAATTGTGAGAAAACCTAATGCCAGTTCCATAATAGCAGTTTACATAACATTCAGTATGTTGCCTATAACAGAGTTCATCTGTGTATTAGTTTCCCACTGCTGCTGTAACAACTTACCACACATAAAGTGGCTCTGGAGGTCAGTTCCACTTGGCCAAAATCAAGGTGTTTGTTAGCAGGCC